TTTCATTTTTTACTATTTTTAGAATTGTGCAAGTGTCTAAGTTGTGCTTTTTATTCTTTGTTTATTTTTCTCTAGTTATAGTGATCTCCATTGTAAAGCCCTGAATCTTATACCAAACTCACTTTGCTATAGAGTACAAACATTAAATGGTGTGCAACACTTTCCACTATCTACTACAAAATAATGTTAATTAAACAATAGAAAACAATAGAATTAGCATAATTTAGCGATATTTATGTTGCACAGGTTTAGTGTTTGTATGTACTCTAATAAAAATTTTCCAAGGCAAAGAATATAAAMTTGTATATTTACATATGAATACGGTATATATAGTTTTGAGTGCATCTTAATAATTGCTTAGAATGTTATACGATTGTACAAGAAATCAGTTCTTCAAATTGCTACTGTGCAATAAAGCAATATTTGTGAATTAAAATGATCTAATAAAGATGTATTTTATAGGAATATTTGGCATTAAGCACATCCATAAATAAATCAATGAAGCTGTGAAAATCACTTCTAGAACTCATTAATAATTCATGAGCTATTAGTCCAATGAGCATCGAACTATTGGGTCACATGATGGGCCTTTATATCCCGATAAAGCACTAATGTTTTATTAATCAGTTCTATATCAGATATATAGAACTGATGTTTTATTAATCAGTTCTATATCAGATATAAAGAACTGAAGTCAGCGCTTTATCGCAAACCAACACTAGCAAATGTCTCAGTTTTAATGTCGCATCATAGACCTTTGCTAGGTTTTAAATCACTTTGAATCAATGTGCAGACATGCAGTAGAGTGCAAGTCACATAAGCATGAAACAATTCTTAACTATGTAGTGCTAAATAAGATTTAGTTATCAACTAACTAAGAATTGAGAACAATGCTACAAAGGAATTTAAATAATTGGCATTGTGTTTATGCTTTGTTGAATTCTTAGTTAGTTGATAACTAAATCTTATTTAGCAATACATATTAAGAATTGTTTCATGCTTATGTGACGTGCACTCTAA